TTTTATCCAAGGTAGTTATTGAATTTATTTGCTAAAGTAGTTTTCATGGTTTGCAGTAAGGAATGTGTTTGACCTTTTTTCTCAGCTTGTCATAATTTTTGTTATAACTAAATTGCTAGCTTCCTTTTGAGAAGTAAGTAATGGTGTTTCTTACTCAATGTTTTTTCCGATAAAGTGGGTTATTCCACTCATCAAATCTTTTACAAGGATCCCTTGAGCAGACACATGTTTCTGCAGTTCAATTAATTCCTGCTCCATTTCCATAATTTCCTCGGATATTCTTCAAACAGTTAATACAAAAGCGATAACCACAAAAATCTTAATACCCTTCACTATCAGATTTTCACTCATATAATCTTTAAATTTGGTGTTGGTGTTGGTGTTGGTGTTGTTCCTTAATGCCTGTTGGTGGTGTTGCTGCCTATTGGGTGGCTTTAGCTGGGTTGTTGTTGCCTGTTACTGTTGTTGGCTAGGTACTTGTTGTTGTTGTTGCCTTTTGGTGTTGTTGCCTGTTGGGTACTTGATGTTGTTGCCTCATGCCTGTTGGTGATCTTGATGCATGTTGCCTGATGGTGTTGGTGTTGATGCCTGTGGGTGGTGTTGATGTTGATGCATGTTCGTGGTCTTGATGTTGTTGCCTCATGCTTGTTGGTGGTCTTGATGCATGTTGCCTGATGGTGTTGGTGTTGATGCCTGTTGGTGGTCTTGATGTTGTTACCTCATTCAATTTGGTGGTCTTGATGCATGTTGCCTGATGGTGTTGATGCCCGTTGGTGGTGTTGGCTGGGCACGTTGTTGCCTGTTGGGTACTTGATGATGTTTCCACATCCCTATTGGTGGTCTTGATGCATGTTGCCTGATGGTGTTGGTGTTGATGCCCGTTGGTGGTGTTGGTGTTGATTCATGTTCGTGGTCTTGATGTTGTTGCCTCATGCCTGTTGGTGGTCTTGATGCATGTTGCTTGATGGTGTTAGTGTTGATGCCTGTTGGTGGTCTTGATGTTGTTGCCTGATGGTGTTGATGCCCGTTGGTGGTGTTGGCTGGGCACGTTGTTACCTGTTGGTGTTGTCTACTAGGTACTTGATGTTGTGAGCCTGCTTGTTTGCTGGTGGAGTTGTTGGCTGGTGGTGTTGTTCGCTAATGTTGATGCCAGTATTTTGATATTGTTTACGGGTGCTCAAATTAGGCTCTGATGATTTCCAATTTATCTGAGATTAGTAACCTGCAATATCTCTTGATATTATAGTAGATGGCTAACAATGATGATATTGACCAAAATTCTGAGCCTTCTGACATAATCAGTTTGGCAGCTTTGTTTGGCTTTGTGACCATTACAATCTAATTGTGTTCTTTTTGGTGTGCATATGTTGTTTCTCTTGGTTTTTTTCTGCTCGGTGTTGTATCAGTAGTCTGTAGCTAATTTTTGGTGTGCATATGTTGTTTCTCTTGGTTTTTTTCTGCTCGGTGTTGTATCAGTAGTCTGTAGCTAATTTTGAAACTTTGTATGCAGATAAAATCTGTTTTTTTCTGCTCGGTGTTGTATCAGTAGTCTGTAGCTAATTTTGAAACTTTGTATGCAGATAAAATCTCGTATAAAGGATTGTAACAATACATAAATTATAAGTTTTCATATTTCTATTCGTGCAGTTCTGATCTTTGCGGAGCTGGGTTTTGTGTTGTGGAATTATTTTAAATCATGGTTTTGTGCGATTTGCTAGGTTATATACATATGCTAGGCTATTCAGGTTGTTTATATGTTTTTATAGGTTTCAGCAGTTTTTTTGGATAATTCATGCAACTTAACTACATAAATTTTTGAATAATTAGGTTAGTACATGATTCGTGTGATTTTTTAATCTGAAACATGTATATTACAAGTCAAATTATAATTTATTTGAGATATTATTATTTGTTCATGTTACATTCGAACTTTTATATAATAAAGATTACATCACATAACGAGCACAAATGTTGTATAATATAGTGGGGGTAATCTTACCATGGTGACCATAAAGATTACATCACATAACGAGCACAAATGTTGTATAATATAGTGGGGGTAATCTTACCATGGTGACCATAAACACTTTTCACTACAAACAGTGGGGGTAATCTTACCATGGTGACCATAAACACTTTTCACTACAAACTTCAAAACCAACCAAACACAGGAAAAGTGGAA